CAGGCTTTTAACCGTTCCAGTTGTTTTGATAGTTATTAATAAATTAGCTTTTAAGGATAATTTAGCTTATTATCACATAAAATTTTACATTCAAAAACCTTTCAGACAGAAGTTACGATCTCAGAAACAAAAAGGACGTGTTTCCATTGTGGTGATATTATCAGAACAGTCAAATCTATTGTATGCATTATATTATACTGTCATTTGTTTGTACCGAACTACGTCTGGGAACAATGCGAACGTCATCAAGCTTACATTATGTAATTATAGATATCAAACAATGGACATGAGTCCTTACAATACTTTTCATATCTGTGTCTATGATAAATATATTTAATTTGAAGGAAGACTAAAGCTTCACTGTTATTATTGTTAAAAGTATCTAAGGAATTGTTTACAAGTTACTGTGAATAAGTATAGGGTTCTGTTACCAGGAAATATGAACAATATGGATATGGTATTGTTTTTGGTTTTAACAAATAAATAATGAATTTCCAGAAAGACGCATTATCATAATCCACTGGCCATTGTTAAAATGTTACTAAACTAAATACTAAGTATTAAATTAAATAAATTGTTTGATTATATTCTATCGTGACAGTAAAAAAGTATGTTGAATACAATTGGTCTAACCCAGTTGTCCAAGTCTAGGTCATTGAACGTACTTAATGACACCTCGGACATATTGTAATCTTATCACGGAATACATGTAGCTATTGTATTTAGATAAAGTATGTATGAGTAACGATCGCTAATTATTAAATAAAAGGCGTTCCTCTGCCATGAGTCAGTGTTGGAAGTGATTGCACAGCGACCCTGTTCCGGTGTGACTTGGATGTAGGTTCGTTCAAGACGCTACGGAAGTGAAGCTTGAGCGTTGAACACCGTGTGAAAGGTTAGCTCCGCGTAAACAATGACGTCATTAATTCTGTTAACATATTTTTTTTAACGGCTCTATATCAATAGGCTGTGAGAAAGGATCGCATACAACTGTTTGAAACTCGGCTGGGGGTTTGGTTTCTATAGAATTTTTGCATTCGATGCAAACTTTATGTATGCAATACCCTAAGTTTGCATACGGAAAGTTGCCAGTTTTACATATATAAATCTTTGGACATTATGGTGTTATTTTAAAGTCCATTATTGTATGGGAAACGTTAAACGTTTCATATGTAGTGTGATTATGCAAACTTGTGCTAAGCATACTAGGTTCCTGATGTGTCGGACTTGTATTTATTCTACTACAAGACAATGCGCTATAAGTCGTGATTCCGTTCTGCATTCTGTACGTACATATGCGATGTATGAAGCGACTTTAAAGGTGCGAGCAAGTTAGATAATGTAATGTTTTATTTTTATTGTTTCATTGCAGCTGTTCATCAAACAAGTGCATAATTATGATTAATGTATTATAATATAATGTAATCCCTGTTAAATATACATTTTAACGTATACTCGGTACGTGTAAATAGAATGATTAATACAACATTGACATTCAAGTGATACGCTAAGACACTGGCAAGGTCAATGTTTCTAATCACTGAAAACGAATAGCTAGGATATTGTTTGAATTTAACAGAAGGCAAGTGTTAATGAGACCGAACGATACATTGATTTAGCAAAAATTACATTATTATGTAATTTATTATCAGAGATTACGTTAATGATAAGCGTTTATATATTATAATGGGTAATAAATTCACGCCTGCCATCTGTTTTTTCTGTGACAAGTTCAATGTTGCAGTAGCTTCAAGGTGAACAGAGGAACTAATTAAAACGATAATGAAATTTTAATTTAACATTCGGAACAATTGTGTAAATATTTATATATATAGTTAATCATATTGATTGTGATAAAATTTATTAAGAATTATTTGTTTCGTTAGAATTCGAGCCTATAACGTCCTTGAATTATAAAAATATTATTTTAAATTACAAGTATGAGACAAATTGACTGTGGTACTATTAAATATAATATTATCGTGTTATAGTAGTATGTTATGTGTTGTGTACATATGTCGACAGTAGTCGAGGTCTCGTGTGTGACTTGAATGCTGATGGTACTGGTCATTTGTAAGTGCATTCCGATGGTAGCGCCGCTCATTTGACATTTCGTACGCGCCAATGTAATAGTATTAGCTGTATTGTTCACATTCATATATATTATTAAATATACATAATATTATATTTATTAGCTATTGTTTTTCATACCGTGATATTGATATTATATTTCATATATATGTAACTTTATATTACAAAAAATGTTTAGACTTTTAATGTTTTTTTTGTTGGGTGTTATTTGTGTAATGGGATAAAATTATTATTGTTTTTATATATACAATTCAATAAGAGGTCATGCATGTCCCTGTTAAATTGCTAGACGTTTTCAGAATTACGAATGTCACGGTACGTTAATGAAGTCCCTATAGTCAGTGATGTCGGAGTGGGAACGGGGTGACTTAATGGCTCTCGGAATAGCATCAGGCATCAGCATTAATATTCAGCAAAGTTAAATGCACTTTTAGTCATACGCGTATCTTTTAGCGCCTTGTAGTATATAAGCAGTTGTCACCATTCCAGTTCCCCCACGTCCAGATCAACTATCTCAATGGTAGATCCTACTGGAGAGGCCAACGAACTTATATAAAATACATGTCTTGGATGTATATACATATATTCTATTTGTGGAATACAAAGAAATGTATATAGAAAGTTTTTTGCCATAAAAATATGGACGTTTGTGATTTCGTCAGTTTATTTCCTTTTTTTCTATTAACCTAAAATTATTCTATATATTATGTTTATAAAATCGAAATGATATTTTACTTCAGTTAGTATTTTCACTTTATATAACGAGCGTCAACCTATACATATATATTATGGAGAAAGTTTGTGTGTGTGTGCATATATATTACGGTATCATACAAAAACTATCCATCCAAGAAAATTAAGTATACCTATGATTACGTAGCTGGAATACCGCGACCGAAACCGCTGATTAAATATAGTATTACAAAAAAAATGTGGAATGTCAGTAAAAACTTGTCCCGTACTGTATTAGAATAGTGTATAACAGCCACAGGATATTGATACAAGGATAACTGTTATTGAGAATATTTATAGCTTCCAAGATGTTCGCATGTCTTAATGAGAAGCGACAGTAAGCTATAGATGCTGGCTGGACCTCTGTTAATAGATTGACAATACTGTCACAGGATATAGTCAGTCAAACATACATACATAATACATATTATACTGCACGCGTTTATAGTTTTGAAATGCTAATGTAGTGTCGTGAAAGTAACATAATATATGTTAATGTTAACCAAAAAATTTCTATATCTATTTGATTATATAATAATACTAGCTTTCCGCCCGCAGCTTCGCCCGCGTGGAGTTCGGTTATATCGAGTTTCCAATAGAACCTTTCAAAAATCTGGGATAAAAACTATGCTATGTTCTTTCTCAAGGTCAACTCTATCTCTGTACCAAATTTCATTAAAATCAATTCAGTGTTTTAGGCGTGAAAGCGTAACAGACAGACAGACAGACAGACTTACTTTCGCATTTATAATATTAGTAGGGATTAGTAGGGATTAGTTTGTGTTACTAATGAATATATTAAAAGGAGTCTATCGACTTAAATCGAAACTATATATTTGAATGTCAGTGATCTAAGTGTATATTCAATAAGGAAGCGATTAAAATGTTCAAGATCATTTATTCATTTAAGACGAGAGCATTCAAGCAGTACTGATTAACAAAATATTTTTTAACTTCATCCTCTCTAACTAACAGATAGTTTTAAACTCCTAAAGAACGTATAATTTTCCCTTCACTTGTACATAAATAAATAAAACATATGATCGTGCCGTTGTCAAAATAAATTTTAGCCAGACAGTTATTCATACATGGCCTCAGTTAACGAGATTATTTTAGGATTCAACTCAGCATTTAAAGGGAGGGATATCCGACGGAGTTTCAATCGTGATTCACCCCGTATCCGATGTTGTTTCTTTATAAAAGTTCTTTATTTATTGTCGTTTCATTATATTTAACAAATACTACCTACTAATTTAAATGTTGCTTTATACATACAAGATTTGTGGTATTATTTCGAAGTAATTTTTCGTTATCTTTTTATCTGATTGGAACTATCTTTAATATATGAAAATAGTATAAATATATAGGTGCAAAGATATTTACAAGATGATCAAGTTTAGATTAGCTATCGTGTTAGATTTAGAAAGCGATTTGTCGTGACTTTGTCCGTAGCAGCTTCCCATTTATGACTCTAGTATCAACTGTATATGTATGAACTACATATAAAAACTATGTTTTCAATGTACTGTTGTAACTTGATGTGATGGAAATGATTTTGTATCTTATTTCTATATCAAACTAGTTTTATACTGTATAAGAAACAGTTTTAATTATTACTATGAAATCAATATTGCCATTTACACGTTAGCGAAACCAGTCGATGTAATGGTTGTTGCTTAATTATGGCTGGGATATAATAGAATGTTATAAATACATGCTATACGTTGATATTTATTATATACTAGTGATTAGTCGCGTTTTCGTCTGACATTTCGTATGTTACTTAACCAAATAAGAAAAAGTACTTTTATGTCATTTAAGGCCTCCTTAAAATGTTTGCAAGCTGTTTAGTAGGTTAGCTGAAGCCAGAAAAGATTGCCAAACGACATCTTTCTTAACCAAAAATATTCTCTATTTTATTCGTATTTATGAGATCTGAAATAAAAAGGACGATATTTCTTTTAACTTTAATATTATGAGTATTAAAAATTGATTTATATGTACCATGTAAGTAATATATATGTTGCATTCATTACTCATGCCAATAATATGATACACATTGTATTGTAGGAAACGCAACGTTTATCAATTTTTGCGTCAGTTCCGGATGACCTGATATCAGTTTACAGCATCCTATAGTTTTATAACAAAACATATGCTATATGTATATACTCAAAATGTTTTTCTTTTGTTCTCAGGATCAATATGATAACTTAGCCACCCATACTCATAAAGGTATCGAATTCTTAGACAAATATGGGAACTTTGTGAAGGAAAGGTGCGCTATAGAGTTAGAATATGCTGGCAAATTAAGGTAAATATTACACAAATACATATGACATACACACTAAAAAACAATTCTACTCTCGATGTAACAATACGTATTATATAAAGAAAATTAAATACATTCCAAATGTATTAGAAAATATATTATGATAGATCGAATTGGTTATAAATATTTATATTATGTAAAAGAATACGAAAAGGATAATATTATTATTTGATGTCATTATAACTAATATTACCAGTTTGATATGTTAATTTGTTGAATGTCCACTTTCACTGCACACATTGGATTGTTTAATAATTATATATAAAAGTTCTTATATAATATAAGTTATAAATTATTTATTATTTATATAGTATTATATATTTAACGGAATGCTGTTTGTATTATGATTAAGTTAATCGTTAAAACTGAATTATCCTCAATTCCTAATATGGCTATGCATATTATATATTAAATTATATTTTAAACAATTTTTATAATGACAATAATAATAATATCTTCCAGGAGGCTTGTTAAGAGCTATCAACCAAAAAGAAAGGAAGAAGACGAATACGTGTAAGTGAAATCTCAGTTTTGTTTTATTATCATAAGTCATATACCGTTATAAATTAATATAGAATTCAATCAATATTAATGTTTATAATAATTAATAATCATTTAACATTCATATGTTAAGACTTTTATCAATTTCTTGTTAATTGAGTACAACAGACATAGTCCCATGCTAAATACGCTTCCAATACTACATATGAAAAGATTACCGTTTCTCATTTGATAATTAATTTTATACTATAATGCACAAAGATATATGTACTAATATGGAACTATCTAAGTTGACAATGCCAATTTATACAAAGCATACTCTATTTAATACTAGCTTTCCGCCCGCAGCTTCAACCGCGTGTATTTCGGTTATATCGCGAACCTTTTAAAATTCTGGGATAAAAACTATCCTATGTTCTTTTTCATGGTCAACTTTATGTCTGTACCAAATGTCATTAAAATCAGTTCAGTGGTTTAGGCGTGAAAGCGTAACAGACAGACAGAGAGAGTTACTTTAACATTTATAATATTAGTAGGGAAGTAGGGATTAGTAGGGATAATTGTTATATTGTAAGTATTATAATTTCAGATACACTTCATGTAAAGCATTCAGACTGCTACTTCAGGAGCTGGGTGACTTTGCTGGTCAGAGGGAGTTGGTGGCTGAGAATCTGCAGTCGAACGTTGTACGCGAGTTACATTTACTCGCTAAAGAACTGAGAGAGGATAGGAAGGTATGTCATATATATTGGGCAGACCCTGGCTACAGCTGGGAAATTGCCAGGAAGAAATAAGAAGAAGGTTATATATATTGTGTTTATATATACAGAGATACAAAAACATAATGTTCTTCTATGTCTATGCGTCGTCTCGATATATTATTTATTAGTTCAAATATATCACAATATACAAATTGTTTTCCGTCTCTTAGTTTACCAAACATTTTAAAAAGACAACACAAAACAATAGTCTCGACTGAACAGAGCACGCTGTGGTACTTCGAATTTCGTTGTTAGGACGTGCTTTTATATTTTTCGACTGTTGAGTTCCGAAGCAGTATTTTTTTGCTTCAATATTTAAAGGCACACTAATCGCTGGGCGAACTAAACGTTTTGTATGCAGCTTGCGGTGATTTCGTAACAGCTATTGAGTTTCGAGAAACGTCTCTCGAAATAAACTAGCATGGTTTCTTATACAGGGTGACTGGTGAATTACTATCGATATTTAAGGACGTGATATTTGACGATCATATATGACGAAATAAAAATTAATACAACATAAATATTAATAAACTTCTAAGTAAAGTTAACCAAAAGTTGTGTAATTAATTACGCATCGTATGAACACCCTACAGATTACTCTACACTACACACTCACACATACGCGCGCGGCGGCGTGTTGTTGTATCAGCACGTCGCCGCACGCGTCCACACTAGGAACACTTGGAACGTGTACACACTTTATTTATTTATACGGAAATTTGGTCAAAAATTAAGTACCTATTTTTTTTACATAATTCGAATGAGAATCATGTACCGAGTATTCTCCTTAAATATTGATAGTAATTCACCAGTCACCCTGTATATATTTGTTCGATATGAAATTTTCTTCTTATTAAAAGTTGAGATCCCGATTATATTGTATAGAAATTGTTCTAAATATCCAATGGCACAGTTTTTATGATAGCAAACTCCTCGTTCGAGTTGAAGGGCTTGTTAGTGAATCCTTCAGCTCCCTGCTGTTAGCAAAGTGGCTAGCGTTCGTTGTATTCACCTGAACGGGGTACAAGTGTGTCGGTATGTCGTCCTTGTTTACGATGCCACTCGTCATACAAAATATAAGGAAATTGCTCTTAGGACACGTGCGTGACTTTGGATATTACTGAGTAAATTGTGCTCTTTTGTTTAGTGTATTTTATAGAAAATGATTAGTGTTAATTTTTGAATGAATCAGTATAATGAAGGCGTATTATGTTCCAGGTACACTTAAACGAGGGTTCAAAGCAAATGGCCGTCCTTAGTTCGGCCGTGGGAGCGTTGGAGCGTGCGCGCCGTTCATACGAGAGGGCGGCGCGGGAGTCGGAGCGTGCGCTGGAAGCCTTCCAGCGGGCGGACGCGGACCTGCACCTCAGGTTAGTGTGCTAGAAAGGGATGGATATATACCAACAACTGAAGAGCGAGCGAGATAGATAACAAACATGAAACAACCAATAGTATCGTTCGATTTAAAAAGAGAAACAAAATCAATAATTTTGAAATCGAATTCAAGAATTACCTTTTCGTATACTTGTATCAAACAATATTTTAGCTCTATTTAAAAAAGGAAACAAAATCAACTCTAAGTTTGATTCAGTTATATTACTCACGCGGTGAAATTAATTACTAAGTCTTATTCATATTCTTTATAACATCAAAGGGAAATATGAAAAGTCACTGTGTCACCGTAGTGCGTCATTATAAATTCAGATTTAAGCTTTTTTCCTCTTTATCCTATAATTAAATGCAATGTGGAAATCCTTGTAACGAAAACACGAGAAGAATATCAAAATTTATAATAAGTTTTCCTTTACCGTTAAAATTAAAATACTTTGACTGTTTGTATTATAATGCATAGATGTAGGAAAAAAACATTTTGTAAGCAATGATTTTAATATCGAATTACGTTGTTTACAAAAATTATATATTTTTGTATGTATATTAAATAATATGAAAGTAATATATATAATCAAAAGAACATAATATACATACTTACCTATATATAAAATGTGCTTGTTCTTTATATATTTTTATTTTAACATTATTCTACATATATTATATTTAGTTTTGGAGTGAAAGGATATCGATGTCCGCAAAACGTAATACAAGACGTTCTGATTCATGGTTCTCGGAATACGAGACTTGTGCAACAAACCTACAATGTGTACAAACATTGTAATTATTATATTACATATTATATTTTACGCTTATATATATACATATAAACTATCAATATTATAAAAAATGTAATTTTTGTACCTATTTCTCATAATACAAATTAAAAATCTCATTAAGCGATGTTTCATACGATCTGTCATATATGACGAAGTGATTCATAATAAATGTTTGAATATTTAGGTTATTATGAGTACGATTTGTCGGAAATCTTTATTTCTCATCTCAATATAATTGTAACATTTTCATATAGTATTACGTTTGCTTTTTATTTATTTTGTAAAAAGCACATAAATTTGTAGGTTTATTAAATAACACTGACGGCACATACCTATACATATATCCCAACATATTTATCACTTTTTTTAATTTTAAATAATTGTATGTTTATTTTTCATTTTCAAAAATTTTCAGTCGAGCCGAAGTCGAGAAACAGAAGATGAACATGAAATTAAGAAGTCAGGCGTGCGAGGACGCGAAACAGGAATACATGGACCAACTGAGGAAGACCAATGATGCACAGAGGCAGCACTACGAACAACGGCTGCCGCACGTTTTCAAACAGTTGCAGGTAATACTGAACATTATATAACATTACTCTGTGCAATGTTTACATGAATATTCTCTGTTCGTGACGTCACTCGACTCGTTTAAGTCTGTCCAATTAAAAATACGTTGACTTTTAAAACTTTTCCAACAATTCCTTTTTGGTTCCAGCATTTCTGTTGAGTCGAGAGTGCTCTTAAAGTTGACTAGTTTACTGTGTTCATTACTGGTACAGTTCATTATACTGTTTTAGGCAGTATGTTAATTAATGTTCAGTCTGGTCCAAGTAATGTCTATATATTCTTATGTCACCCGAGAATTTGTATGTAATGTCCCATTTGGATGCCATCACAACATTTGATAGTGGGAAGTAATTTAAACTTTGACACGAATCGAAATGTCTCCCGGCTCTGGGAATTGGAGCTCCGCCAACTGGGTCGCGAGGAAGTCAAGTGTGTGTAAAATTATTTTTATACACAATGCACCGCTGTCTAAACAAGGCCTTTGTTGCAGGATTTGGATGAGAAGAGAATAAAACATATAAAGAATTTCATGATCAGCTCGGTTGATGTAGAGAGGAAAGTGTTCCCGATTATAATGCAATGTCTCGACGGTATGGAACTGGCCGCTAAGAATATAAACGAGAAAGAGGTAAAGAAACTATTACATAAAGGGTTGTCCATTAATCACGTGATCTTTTTTTAGCATTTTTTAACCCCCCCGCCCCCATTGGTGATATGTAGTGAGGTTTAAGACCACCCCCCCTCCCCCTTCTCAACATCACGTGTATTTTTAGTACCTACAACGAATCTTTAAATTTTCTGAATATTATCTTAATTTAAATACAGGTATAAACTATAATCATATTTTATTCTGAAATTAAGGACCATAATAAAAATTTCTACACCAGGTTGCAAGTTTTTATATTGCCATAACGATAATAATAAACGAAGAGTGTAATCAAAAATCGCGCGTTAGACGAAAAAATAAATACACGAGATATCTTACTACACCCCCCCTCCCCCTTGTGATATTTTCGTGATTTTTATCAAACCCCTCCCCCCCCCTTTCAAGCCTCACATGATTAATGGACAGCCCCTAATCAATAGTATAATACTTAAAGATTTGTATTTAAATATCAATATTTTTAATATTACAGTAACTATTAAATCTTCAAGTTTTGATGTTATATTTCAAACATACATATATAGACAAAGTACATTAAATTTTAAAATAATATCCATGGAAAACAAATTCAACTAAATAAAAAATAATATACAATATCATACATAAAATTTCTCTTCTAAATTCTTTCTTATATGATTTCCAGGACACTCAGTTAGTAATAGAGAGGTACAAATCAGGTTTCGTCCCGCCTGAAGACTTCAGATTTGAACCCGCGAATGGTACTGACGCTATTGACTCTGTACCAGCGCCTACACACAACCACATCACAGTCAGAGGAACAGTGTCCGGCAACCGGATCAAGAAGAGAGGTGGCCTGCTATCTATATTCAGCTCAAACAAGGTGTGTATTCAATTTGGTAGCATTATAATCTATATTTAGCATATTATATGTAGCTTACATTTTATTTGGTCGGATTATATTGCATGGAGAACCTATTAAATTTTGAACAGTTATATTTATGTAATGGCTGTGTGGTTATAATGTGTTTTATTTATATTTTTTATATTACTACTAATAATTTATATAACTAGAGTTAGAAAATGTGTATCACATATAGAATATTGTTTGTTGAGTATGTTTTAGAATTTTAAATGCCCATGTGGCCATGAACAAGTTGGTAATGTACAATTAATATGTGATTATATGTTTAAAATGTTTCAACATGTACAACTTGATCTATTAAAGTACTTGTGTTACAAAACAGTTAAACAATTGTCAACAACAATCATAACTTGGTCTCAAGGTCCATAGCATTTGATATAATTTATGTTTTTAAACCTTGGTTGTGTTAGCTTTAAATGCTTCGTTCTAATATAAAATTGCTTGCATGGTAATATATTTGGTTATAGAAGTTTATTTATTTATAATTTGGTACTAATATTATTTTTTATATGTCATACCCCGATCCCTACATAACATGGGTACATAACAACATGCGTCGCTACGGACAAAGTAAGTGTTATCGGGTGGTGTAAGTTGTTGCATGGAAAAGTCATTTATTTTGTCACTTGAATACTTGTATTAATTTTTAATGAATTTCTATTTTTAATGGATAACTTCTAGAAATATACACTAGTTATAATTTACATATATGATTTTTACTTGTACATTATATAGCATAACAAAAAATAAGATTTCTCTTTAATAAAACACCAGTGTATATTTCCATTGTCATACGTCATTTCAAAATTTTTTCATTCACTTTTCCTCTGAGGCGGTTCAAGTGTCCTTTGTTAATATTTATTGTTTTGCTTCCGTATCGCCGCTTTGTTTGAACAGAAGATTATTGAGGCGTGCAACTCTCTAAAGGTCAGTCTGTGTGTGACTATTGGCTAAATCACATCAACGAATAAAAATATATGTATGCATATTGGTCAATATATATATGGGTCTACATTCATTGTGTTATATGCACTGAAGGCATAAATAACTTTGTGTGCTTTATCACAACACTACTCAAGTGCATTTGTCATAAAAAGTACAAATGTGATTTGTTTTTTTTTAATGATTTCATTGTATTTTTATAAGTTTGCACTAATGTGACTTTGTTACATCTAATGCCTTATCTTTTTGCTTTTTTGTTATTTTTTTTATTCTTTCCTATTTTACACTTTCCTATCACAGAACTAACTGTATATATATTTTTTATAATTTAGTTTTTTGTTATTAAAATATATATTTGAAGATTATATTTTTATTGTGAAATTAAATGAATTTTAACTTTGACTTAAGTGTATAATACAAATCTCGTTACTTTTAAGATTGATAGCAATTTTTTCGTGTGAGCAATTTGCGATAATTTTTGATTCATTTATATTAAATACTTAAATATTTTTCAGAATAACTTGTCGGTCGATGGAAAGGAGGATTATTCAGATTTACCGCCCAACCAAAAGAAAAAGAAACTTCAAGCTAAAGTACACGAATTGACCAAGCAGGTAATTATTCCACTTCATTCTTTATAGCAAGTTATTATTGTATTTCTTCTTTTGCGGCATTTATAAAGATACTTTTATAAAATACTAGTAAACCCGGCGAACTCCGTTTCGCCACCAGAAGGCTTTTATATAACATTTCGTTCGGTGATTAAAAGATGAAGAATTTTGTTTTGTTTTATATTTGAAAAGGAAAATTTTTATTTCATTTCACAACAGTAATCAATTCATTTCGATTTTTAAGTTTTATTAAGTTGAACTTCTCTAAGTAAATGAAAGTGAATCCAAAGTAGATACCGAATCGAAGCGTTATACGTGTCTACGTGTCCGCATATTATCCGTTTCATTGAAGTGCTCCTTTGTAAACAACAATTTTTGTTTTTTGGTCTAACTTTAACACAAATGAAGCGGATGGTTTCCAAACTCGTGAACACGCAAAATATAACTGCCCATGTGAAAAATAATGATTTTCTATCTTTATCCCGCAAATACTAAATGGTTTTAAGTATTTAAACTACAAACACAATACCCGTTTGTCACATGAAACTAACTGAGCAGCGAACAATGAGTATCTGTCAAACAATGTTTCATGCACCGGCGCCATCTACTTAAAATATTGATTTGTAGTATAACGCTGTATGTGCAAAAAGATTTTCCCGCTTTTCTGTTGAATTTTAAACCTCCCGGAGCCTGAGACCTTTCCAACGAATGCAAAACCGTGGAAATTGGTTCGTTCGTTCCGAAGTTATAGCGTCAGGATGGAAAACCGGACCTATTTTTATATTCTTACTTTTTATTTTTTATTTCTTATAATCTTATATCTGTCATTATACGTCAATTGCATAGCTGTCAATTGTGTTTCGTTATTCCACGTTTTATAGTGACTGACGTTTCATGTCAAGTCACACGGGAATGCTGTCGAACGGGATAAAAAGTATGTAATCCTATGTAATTTTCCTGGCTCTAAACTACCTCCCTGCCAATTTTCAGCTAAATCGGTTCAGCCGTTCTTGAGCTATAAGTGGAGTAACTAACAGGACTTTCTTCTATATGTATATAAAGATATCTTTTTCTTTTCAAAGAGATACTTGTTTTTTTTAAATTCAATACTTGAATAATATGTAAATATATTACTTTTGTAAATATATGGTTTTATATTGTATTAATATTAATTTAATATGAATGCTATTGCAGGTTGGCCAAGAACAAGCTGCTATGGAGGGTCTCATGAAAATGAAAGGAGTTTACGAAACAAACCCCACACTGGGCGACCCTATGACTGTAGAAGGTTTGAATCTTTTCTATTACATTCCTGTTTTTTTATATTCAGTACTGACAATTAATATTAAAAAAGTCTAGATTTGTTTATAAATTATATCTTAATTAATTCAGGCGTATATAATAGATTTTTAAATGTTTAAAGTTTATATAAATTTATATTACAGGTCAGCTTAACGAATGTTGTGATAAGCTAAAGAAGCTACGTCTCCAACTACGCAAATACGAAGAGCTACTGGCAGAAGCGAACAACCAAGTGTGCGCCCAGCCGATACACTCTATCAGCAAGACTAACGGCGCGCCCACACAAGCTACGAGGTAATATTACCTTTATTATATACTAGCTGCGCCCCGCGGTGTTACCCGCGGATTTCCGGGATGTAAAGTAGCCTATGTGTTATTCCTGGACGTCAGCTTCCTGTATACAAAATTTTATCAAAATCCGTTCAGCCGTTTGAGCGTGAAGAAGTAACAAACATACACACACACTCACAAACTTTCGCAATTATAATATTAGTAGGATTTTATTTTATACTTCAGCTATTATTATTACTTATAGTCAGTGGCGACCGGTGGGTAATCGAACCGGTGGTGCAGTTTACTAAAATATTAAAATTAGAAAATGCAACAAAACATAACGAGATGTCAAAAACGGCTCAACTCGTCATACATCGGGTGCTCTCGGTAATCTTCGGTGACTCGTGCGGCGCTCGAGAACCGACTCATTGCGCGGTACATTTCTATGAACTATTTTTCCGCACGAGATATTAGTTTAGTAAAGCGCTCAAACTTTTTGACCATGATTAGGAAATTTAATTTTTTATACGTTTTTGTATGTTTAGAAAATAAATATTAAAATGGTAATTTAAAAATAAAGATGAAGTAATATTTTGTATTTTTTTAATCTTTTGAATTGGTGGTTCAGCGCACGAGTGCACTTAAAGTACAGCCGCCACTGCTTATAGTAATAGTAATACTTATTTATAGATTTATAATCTATAATGTAATCTATAGTCTGTTAAACATAATGACGTCATGTATGTTCCAGTGGTATCCTAGATTTTATATCTCGCCACTAACATTCATACATTAGTTTTGTTATAATAAAATATCAACTATGTTCCAGCATCGGTTCAAACAGCGGTTCTCTGTCCCGCTCGGCGTCTGAATCCTCCGTGAGTACGGGTACCGGCACTAATACTGGCAACACCGTAATGGCGGTGTCATCCCGGGCCGCGGGGGGTTCCCCGGAGTCGGGCCTCGGCGGCGAGCTGGCCGCGGGTCACGTGGAACACGCGAACGGTCACGACCACGACGACCACGACCACGACCACGACGACCACGAGTCCGACTTTGATTATTACTACGAGCCGGACTTACAGCCGCTGGGTTACTGCAAGGCGCTTTATGCTTTCGAAGGTATGTTATCATTTGTTCTTGTTATAAATAATAGATCAAAGTTAAATTTCGTTTATCCTCAACCAATAGTTAAAAATGTTAGTGAACTTATAGGATGACCGAGACATAACTTTATGTCAATTGGTTATTATACCTTTAAATCCTTAACGACTTTGTTATAATTACATATATGTAGTTTTGATATGAATTGTTAAACACATTTTTTTGCTGTATAATTTATAAGTAAAGCATTTAAAGTCTATATACATTATACAGTTTAATTGCTATATAACAATATTTATAACATATACGTTTCCAGCGAACGGCACCGGTTCTACGATGCGTATGGAGTGCGGCGAGAAGCTGCTGGTGTTGGAGACGGACGCCGGGGACGGATGGACGAGGGTGAGGCGCTCGCTCACCAGGGAGGAGGGGTTCGTGCCCACCACGTACATCGCTACCACGCTGTACGCGGACGTGCATCACTAGCTGGTATAATATAGATTCTACTTACTATATAGGCCCACATTCATTCATAGATAATAAAATCTGACTAGGACCTTAGCTATTTTATTTTCTATTCATTTATTTCTACAGATCAGATTTATTTATTCATTAATTTACAGTAGCAAGGATGAGTGCTGCAATATGTTGTTGCTGTTTTATTATGTATCGGCCAGTATGCTTTTTATGAAAATTGTTTTAGCTAGTTCGATGACTATTCGAAACAAAAAAGTTCAAATATTTTATTACCATTAAGCTTTAGATAAGATAAAAATCAATTTACACTAAACTAAAATGCGGTTCATTTCAGTAAGTGATCATTAAATTGTCAATGGAACATAAAATTTTGACGGTTTCATATAAAAACTGTATATGGCTTGTGTTAAATAGAATCGTTAAAATATACCAACACAATCAATTTAGAGAATATAAAAGATTTTGGGTGAATGTTTTTACCACAATAGATAAGTACATATTTCGTAAAAAAAGATGACGTATTTTTTTCAACTGAAATTATATTAAGTGAAAACAAGGGAACTGGAATATTAAATGAGATTATTTTAATATATGTATATAGTTTCAAGGTCTTATAAACAATCTTATTTATTATGTCCACGAACAACACGTGATGACACACATCAATAAACAGTACGTACAGCGCGTAACGAATCGTTATTAAATGTAAAGTTGATGTTGAAATTCCAATAAAGACTCAGACTTAAAACATTGTACCGAATACTACATGAAGGGTCACACTGACATTTTGAAATTATTTTCGCGTATTCATTAACATTTAATAATATGATTTCTGTTATATACACAAAATTTTATTATGATGTTTTAACTTTCAAGCAATATAGAAATAAAAATTTAAATAAAAATATGCTATGAAAATTTCTTGGCGGGAACTTTATTCGATCTTGCGACTTTTTGAATGAATTTCAAGTTCTTTTCCATCTAAGTAATCGTGTCCATACTCAATATTTATATTTAAACTATAACAAAAGTATTCTTATAGAGATGATTTGTATTTTAAATATATATTTTCTTGTTTCAGATATAACCATCGCTTATAAATGGCGTTGTATCGGTGATTCCACGATCACTGTGTAAAGTTATCGGACTGTAGTCACAGATCTTGTGCAATCACTAGCGATGTATCTCGAACGATAAGTGTTCTCGGTGGCCTATATATTAACGTGTATTTTTGCTATAATTTATCGATATCGAAATTAGTATTATAATATTACTATATATATTATTTTCATCTAATATATCCTTTTAAAAAGCTGATTGTCCCGTAAGCGAAGTGGTAATCATAATAACATTCCATGATCTTATTTATTTTTTTTTGTTTTTGTATATTATGTGTTATGTGGCGTACATATTTTTCATGTATTGTCGTGTAACTTAGTTTTAATTTTTTTTAATTTTTTAATACTTGTAACACATTTAGATCTTCGTTGTGCCAGCTGTTTACCTGTTAGGGTTTTTTCGTACTTATGATAGATGTTTATGCTTTTGTGATTCGAATAATTGAAGAAAAGAAATAAAATAAATGATGTTTATAAGAAATTATAGCAAAAATAAATTTATAAATGAACTGTAATATATGTAAAATTTTTTGACATTAAAATCCATTCGACGCATTGGTTAACTAGTGATGAATGTATCGATATCACACGATGTATTATAGTATGCTTATGTTAAATGATTCTATGTAGTATTAAATGCGCTAGCTAATTGTGGTTATTAGCCAATGCTATTTTTCAGAATATTTGCCGTACGCAAGAAATCTATTGTATTTATATATAGCGAGAAGTTGAACGTGACGGATGAATGAGTGTATTTGATTTTTATATAAAATAAAACTATATGATGACAAATGTTTTTATTATTTGTACCAATACAACTTTTTAATTGCGTTTTTCTAGTAAGTCTATAAAATCCTGTTCAAGGTGATGTGAGTATATTTGATTATTATATTGCTTTACATAGAAATGACTTGTTTGCTTCGTCATTAGGGTCAAGAACGCCAGCGAGCCCAGCTTGCCGCCACTTTAAAAGGGCATTACGTAAACGCGCCTTTCAAATACGTATATTTGCTCAAAATAATGAGAGAGGATGACAATGACACCGAGAACGAGTTATAAATAAAAGAAAGGTCGCGCTAATTGTCCTCCGACCCCTAATGGCGCTTTAATTTTTGTGTGAAATGCTTATTTACGATCTCATTAAACGCACCCAAATATTTAATTAAGGTTAGACAGAGTCAAGTACAAGATATACGCTACGGAGTATAAAGTTGTTCAATGAATAGAAAGCGAATCTATTACGAGGATGGTTAATTAAATAATATATTTTCGTGTAATGAATGATATTTTTCATAATATCGTATTAAGTTTGCATGAGACGTGCCCATGTTGCGCAGTGCTCCATTGGCCGACTGCAACGCCTTCCGTGTCGTGCCACGCAACGGTTACGTAATGAACCGCAAGCCAAGACAAACAAATGTTCCGGACGTATTACTCGCAGACATACTATTGTGTCAATGTTGACACGAACATTAACTTCAATGGATAATGTCCAAGACGATCATTTACACGACTGAGGCCTGCTAATGTACGAAGTTCCCGAGATAAAACGAGTTTTGCGGGAACCGACCGCCATCCCGGAGTCTTGCGCAAATAAATGGCTTTCCTGCTTTGGCTGGGATTGCTGTCATTACAAAATTCACAGATACATTTAAAATAATAGCTTCTTAAAAGCGTAATGGACGATTTTATCCCTTATTAAGTTTTAACAGTGTATGAGTATCTACATTTAAAATTAATGAAACATGTTTTGCAAAATCATTTATTCCAAGCGTACACATTCTCGTGTATCGTAAATATATATTGTTGTATTAAGAGCTTTCCTCGATACAATACATAAAAGAATGTGGAACTAAGTTACTTATCTCACGACATTGATTTTTATACACGAGTCTTATAATAAAAATCTCTCAATTACACAGATAAAAAAATATTACTGCATAATATCGTAAAGAATTTAAGTATTATTCAGGGGAAATATTAAGAAATTCTATGACTTTTCCAAATCATTATCTGAATACGTAAATGTACAGAACTATGCCTACAAATATTTCAGTTTAAATCACACTTATACAAAAAAAAAGTAGTCAGTGAAACACGTGTTTGCGGTAGAAAATAAAAAAGCTTCAAGTATTACGTCTCAGGACGGAAACACTATAACAATAGGATCGTAAAGAAGAGCTTGTTAGACAACACGTACAGAGAGTTATACAAACACCTACTTACTCTGTTACTATAATAAACATACATAATATATTCATCTAAGTATTTCGGATGAAACTGCTTTATAGATGTGCTACGCAATTTATTTCATTAATTAATTATTATGCGGAATTTATATTTTAGCGGACGTTTTGGTTGCTTTGCTGGAACCGTGATCATGGACATATAGATGACAGTGTCTGTCTAAATTAATATGTTGCTATTACACGCTGTTTAGAAAGGCGATAGGAAGCATCCGTTGCAGCAAAAAGAAATAAATTTTCAATGTCTTCTGCATCATTTATCATTGACGCCGCTCTCCTTTAAATATTGTTGTTATATGTGATAGTAGTAGTAAAATTAAAAACTATTCATGTATATAATATTAGTATTATAATAAAACTTTATGCAAGCGACATAATTTCACATTTTTTTAAAATATGACATTACAATCAGTCGTACCTAAATCCAAAGCACGAACACCATTTTGAGGTACTTAAATATCAAATCCACTATCAATTATTCAAAGTTTAATATTTTTGCACGAATTATTTTGAATATTATTTAAAGTAACTTCCCAAAGAAACTACAACGATTAGTATATAATGTAATTAGGCCTTTGTTAACCTAATGAAGAAAGTTACAAAGATTCGAACAGAAGTTGTAACAACATGTAACGTGTAAAATTAATTCAAACTGGAAGCACACTTTTTTGATGTTTATACTAAAAATTAATGTATTTTTAATAATTTACTGCAAAATATATGTTAAAACAATATCTATCGCTTCAGAATACCATGTAGGTATGCCAAGTTATATATGAAGTTACATATCACAAACCAAGTTTATAAGATTGTTTGAAACAAGGACACTGTTTCACTTCTGACATCTTTAAAACAATACCCAATGTTTGATCGTACGAGCTTACGTAACAAGTTAACCTTTTCATGATTTTTAAAAAGTTCAATTGTCGTTTACCTACTTTTCTTGCATTTTATGTAATAACAACGAGACAATGTACCATAATAATTACATTTTTAATTTTAGTATCCAATTATAAATTAAGTAGTTGTTATGTTAGCTGGTAAACAGAATGCTAATGTGCGCGGTTGAATGGTATTTAGATCAGCATGGTTCGTTGAATTGAGTTATATAAACGTGGGCAAGGCCATATTAATGAAGAGGTATATAGTCTTAGGTTATATGAACCAGGTGAAGGCGATTCGCAATATTTAATACTCTTATAAATGACGTATCAATCAGATAATAATGTTTTATGTTTGGCTAAAGCTGTAATTTACAAGAAAATAAATTTTTGTAAGATTTATAACCCAATTATTAATCGAATTCTTTGGGTTGAATACAGAAAGATACTTAACATTTATGTGAGACAAAAATTGTAATTATTTTTGAGGATAATTAATATTTTTCGCTGATAAGGTTACAGTGATATATTTTATATTATATAACTGAAAAAGTCTTATTTTAATTCTTACTGCTTTGGCTACAAACATTTTAAATTTTATTTTCCTTATCACTTTCACTAAATGTTTGATTACCGCTATAAGGAAAATTAGGTGCTGTCAATCTGTATGCAAATTAACGTATCTTAAACTTATGTATCGCTTTAGTAATTTTTAAAGAAATAAAGAAAAAGGAAAGATTATTTTCTTTTCTAATTTCTTTCAA